TTGCTGCCCGTGTTACCAAACTGTAGATAACTGGATACGATATCCTCCAGCCACTGACTCAACCTTGCGCTCGGAGGCAGATCATCGCAGAGCTGTTTTCAGGCAATAGCTTGCTGAGGTCGTCGATGCTGCAAGGGTTGGGACAATAGACGATACAGTTGAAGGTCAAGGGATTCGCAGGAAGGGGAACGAAGGATGGAAGTCCCCGCAAGGAATCCAACCTTGTTGCCTGTCATTAAATGTTCAGATTGCGGACAAGATGTTGATATGGCGAGCCTGACCAAGCACCAATGCGCAGCAGCAGCAACACCTCCAGCACCACAACCACCCGCAACACCAGGTATACTCACATGCCTCGTGCCCACATTCAATACCATAGACTGACAATACCAGCTTCGTTTGTGCCTCCGCCTCTTCCACGGACAGACTCATCTACAAGTTTGAGGAGCGCGAGACCGCAACGACCGTTGTTGCCCAGAATCGATCCTTCTATCGGCTGTGAGTTTCGCAGAAGTGTTCGTCTCGGCAAATACTGACCTACCCTTTCAGTTCGACCTCCAGTTCTTCACGGCGAACTCACGCCTGCAAGCAGCGGACACAGCTCGCTGATGTCTCCTGTGAGTGCAACTTCTGGCCCTCAGTCACCAGGGCCGGCTATCCGCAAAGCATCTGTACCGGGACCCCGACGTCCACCATCGCCAGAATTGACGAATCTCGATTGTGCATTCCCTCCCTTCCCTTTGCCTTCGAGGGCTTCTACGACGCGAAAGCGTGAGAGATCTGCAACTCATCGCAGTGATACAAAACCGTCCAAGTCTCGCGATGCCCAGAAAGCGTTACCTGTGGGGAGCAGACCGTACCCACTTTCAAGAGGAGGATCAGATAACTCGGTGATGACTCTGGCTTATCAAACATCGACACAGAAGCAGCCGCGTTCACCGAGCCCTAGAAATGGAGGCAGCCCCTCGCGGAGCACTGAGAGGGATGGTTACCAACAGAAAAGTGAAAAGCGGCCAGAACCAGAGAAGAAACCACCTGAGCCGATTTCAGTAAGCCAGGGCGATGGTGCTCTGGAAATGCTACAAGCAAAGAGTTTCACGCCAGAGGTGTCAAGCTCTAGCGCCCAGCGAGAGCCGACACCCGACGCAAAAGCGATCCCGGATTTCAGTGCATTCGACTTTGGTGACGCAGGAACCAACAAATTCAAGCCAGAGGCTACGAACGAGGCCCCGAGACTGATCGAGGAGCGCTCTAGAGCTGACACTGAGCCGTCATACAGAGCCAAAAGACCCCCGCCACTGCTGGACAGCAAAGAGGTTATGACCTTGGTGAAATCACCTACACTCCCACAGCCATCGCCGGTTGGTAGCTTGACGCGAGGACTGGGACGCTTGTTTGGTCGACGACAGTCTCAGTCTTCAGCGTCACGGCGGGATGTGGTCCGGCAGGCTCTCAGTGACGAGCCAGATATGCACGACAGTTATTTTACAAGCCGAAGTATTGTTAGTCCAATGAGCGACCGGTCACTCATCGCTGCAGATCCGTCCCCTGTTACCATGTCGCCATCGGTGTCTCCTGGACTATTGCCGGAACACGAAGAATCGCTGAAGGCATTGGAAGGACTGACACCTGAGCGGGTTGCTGTAACTCCGATGGTTGTCGTGGAACCAGCCAGAGAAGAACCGCTGCGCCCACCGACCCCCCCTATCGAGACTGACATCGCTATAACACCGGGGTCGCCAGAGACTACTGCGGTGTCGCCTGGTGCCCCAGGTGCAGAGCTCATCGAGGCTCTTCGACGGGTGTCAGTTGACTCGGCGTCGTCCTACGGTTCGGCTGCATTCTCCGAGAACACTGCCAGCACCAGATCGAGTTCACCACAGGCCGAACTTGTTACACACAAAGCGTCCGGACCATCCAATTCCGGTGTCCTCAACTCGGAGCATCCTGATGTGCCTGCACCACTAAGACCAAAGATCCCAGACCTTCCACCCGATTCGCCAACGGATCCGTTCTTTCAGCAAGGTCGTCTATCACCACTCCCAGACCTTCCCAACCGCGAATCTGACTCGACAGACTCACTATTCTCGATCTCAGTGGGTCTACAAACAAGCCCCAAATCAATCCATGCTCCTCAGGTGTCATTGAGCAGCAGTGCCAAGTCTGCAGTCCCCAATAAAGGAGTCTGTCGCGGCTGTTCTCAGCTGATCCTCACGGGACAAAAGTCAGTGTCGAGCGCAGACGGTCGGCTAACTGGCCGGTACCACAAGGAGTGCTTTGTGTGCTGGGCATGCAAGATTGCGTTTCCGACGGCTGAATTCTACGTTCATGACGATCACCCGTACTGTGCTTACCACTACCACGAGCTAGAGAATTCTCTCTGTGCTACCTGCGGCAAAGGAATCGAAGGCCTGTATATGGAAACCGCCAACGTCGCGGGGCGCGGCAAAGAGAAGCATCATCCGGATTGCCTAAAGTGCACAACTTGCAAGATCCGACTGGACCACGACTACTTTGAACTGTCTGGGAAGGTCTACTGCGAACGAGATGCGTTTCGGCTTGCAACCTTACCAAGATCCCATGACAATGCTCCCAGCCGCCCGAGCCCACTGATTCGAGAGTACATCTCCAGTGGAGACCCTGGACTCGTAAAGGGCAGGAATTTCCCAGAGCGAAGAACGACCAGATTAATGACGATGACCTAATTTCACGACAACGACAGACGCAATGCTTGACGTCGGGTTTCGATCGTTTGGCAAAGCACAGGAGTCTTTTTGGAGAGGGCACTGGATGAGGAGTGGACACTAGCAACTTCAAGTTTACGCGGCCGGCAACAGTTCCAGTTCGTGGCAGAGCATGGTATGGTCCGCTGCAATCCTTTCTTCCTGCTAACACCAAGTATATATACACGAGACTTATGCCGGACATATGGAGCGTCCATTTCAAGCGGAAGCATGGTGTTCCGGTGTGCGATCAGAAGAATATATTAGCTATATATCGATAATGTTTATGCCGCTGCACATCCAAGGCCAAACTTTTCCTGCTGTGACGCCTGATCGGAACGCTGTCTTTTCAACCACGATTGTTTGTGTGACGTCGCGTTGCTGGCTCTATGCAGTGAGGACATACCAGCAAGCGAGGCCAAGGTAAGATCGGGAGCTACTTGACTTGTCTGATAATTACCAGGGATGGTTGACCAGTTCCATTCGACTCCTTTCTCGCTGGAGGGCACGAAACTCGAACGAGGCCGTTGGAGCGTCTACTCCGGCACTTCGGTAAGCATGGATACCCCCACGACGCACACGCGCATGCCATCGGGTGTCTTAGCGTATCATGTGCTTTGCTGGGATGTCAATGTCACTCGGCAGGGTATTTAGTGTCAGATCTGGCAAGCAGGCAAACAACCGAGACAGGAAAAAGATTATCCCACGATTCGGAAAGGGAACAGAAATCCCAAAGCTTGCTTTGACGACCACAAAGAAGCAACCCCCGGTTTGTGTGACACGGAGACTTCTTCCCCAGGGCAGAAGAAGATAGATGAGTGACTTGGGCGGCCCGAAGCAAGACTTAAACCGCACTTTTAGCGGCACGAACAGAAACGCCGCCAGGGAGTGGATTGGAGGCATCAAGGTTTGAAACTGGGCCAAGGAGCACGTCGTGTGACCGCAACGACAATCGACAGCACAGCCGAGGGGAGATTGGAGACAAAAGCTGACGAGCAAGATTGAAGCCTGTGGATGCAGCCGGATATCAAGACTGGATTCGGAGAGATGCGGGAGGTTGAGAAAGGTGAGATTCTGGGCTGTGCCGAATTGATTGGAGGTACGAGGGATCTCCAAGAGATGGTTCCGGACCACAGCGGTAACAAGTGGTGCAAGTCTCATGCGGTCCAAATGCACATGCATCTCAGCATTTGGGATTGATGCGTCTATGGAGCCAGCAACAAGACGACGAAAAGCGAAAAGCGAAAAGAAAGACGATGGGTCGGGCCTGGCGTGGGACCGAGACTGAACATCACTCGATCAATCCCACGCGCCTGTACCACAGTTTCCACCTCTTGGAATGATAAGGACAGAATCCACGAACAAACCCTCTTATCGACAGAGTACAGCTCAGCACATCCCCCCTATTATTATGGAGCCCTTGGTGCCCGAACGGCAGTCGGAACGCATCACGACTTCAGAACAGAGAGTCAGTATCGAAGCGGTCAAAGCAACAAGAGACTAAACGGGGACCCAGACACGCCAGTCTAATTAGCGAGGCCACGAAGACGCAATTCCCATTAGTCACACTCTCCACCACACACCGAGTGACAATTGCTTGTGGGATACAAGAAGCCGTCTGTCTTCCCTTTCTTCCATCCCCCTCGACACCACACAATATACAATCGACGCCCTACAAAGCTGTTTGGAACGCGAGTCTGATCACCGCCCAGCTGTGATCTATTCTCATTCCTCTTCTACACACAAGGATCACCACCGAGTGATCCGCCCAACCGCCAAGACGTTTTCGAATTTGTTGCCCTCGTAAGTACCGACCATGCTGCCTCTACCCTGTCCAGTCTTGCAGTGCTGGTACCTGCATCCAACCCCTGTCCATGCATTTCTTCTCGCATCTTCAATCTGGCGGTACCTGGCGTCAATCTCGTGTCAGGTCTATCGTACCTTTGGCCATGCAGTTGACCGCGGGTGGTACCTTGATGTATCCCCTTTACCACCGCAATCGTCCTTGGACGTCGACGTTGGATGCCGCTCGTTCTATTGACAATTTGGTCTTGTCTTCATATTCTTTCCTCTTCGGACCGCTCTTGCAAAATGCTCGCTCACTCACAAACCACTCTTAAGCTCTCATCACCCGTTCAACGGTAGCCGACGCTCTTCCCCTCCTGGAGGAGCATCGGATTTAATACAGACCCGATAAATTCGCCATTTATCAGAGAAACTCGCCTGCCACTTTAAACTATTCGTCAAGCTCATTCGGTCACTCTTCTCGAGCTCAATATGGCACCACACGCGGAAATCGGCGTCGGCACCATGAACGGGTATAGCAACAATCACGCCTCGGACTCGGCTCAATCGCACAAGGAGCTTTTCACGGTCGACTCTCCCAACGTTACGTATACTGACGAACACATCAAGAGCAAGTATGTCTACCGCACCACAGCAGTCACCAAGTCTGCCGATGGGAAATACACGGCAACGCCCAAGGAAACCGTCTATGACTTCAAAGTCGACCGTAAAGTGCCCAAGGTCGGTGTGATGCTGGTGGGATGGGGCGGCAACAATGGCTCCACTGTGACTGCCGGCATCATCGCCAACCGTCGTGGACTTGTCTGGGACACTCGTGAAGGGAGTCGTGCTGCCAACTACTACGGCTCCATCATCATGGGCTCAACCATCAAACTCGGGGCTGACGCCAAAACCAACGAAGAGATCAACATTCCTTTCCATGACGTCTTGCCCATGGTTCACCCGAACGACCTTGTGGTTGGTGGCTGGGATATCAGCAGCCTGAACCTGGCCGCCGCAATGGACCGTGCTCAGGTCCTTGAACCAACCCTCAAGGCCATGGTGTACAAGGAGATGGCTCTCATGAAGCCACTGCCCAGTATCTACTACCCAGATTTCATTGCTGCCAACCAGGAAGATCGTGCGGACAACATCCTGCCGGGAAACAAGGCCAGCATGGCCCATGTTGATCAGATCAGGGCAGACATTAGGTGCGACAGCCTCCTCGTCACCCAAGATATTGAAAGATGCTAAACTTTGTACAGGGACTTCAAGGCTCAGAACAACCTCGACAAGGTCATTGTTCTCTGGACTGCCAACACTGAGCGCTATGCCGACATCATTGCCGGCGTCAACGACACCGCCGAGAACTTGCTGAAAGCGATCGAGCAAGGCCATGAGGAAGTGTCGCCCTCGACAGTCTTCTCCGTGGCTTGCATCCTTGAAAAGACGCCTTTCATCAACGGCTCCCCTCAGAACACCTTTGTTCCCGGCGCCATCCAGCTCGCTGAGAAGCACGACTCGTACATTGGAGGTGATGACTTCAAGTCGGGTCAGACCAAGATGAAGTCGGCATTGGTCGATTTCTTGATCAACGCTGGTATCAAGCTGACGTCGATTGCAAGCTACAACCATCTGGGCAACAACGACGGCAAGAACTTGAGCTCTCAAAAACAGTTCCGTTCCAAGGAGATTTCCAAGTCCAATGTCGTCGACGACATGGTGGCAGCCAACAGTGTCTTGTACAAGAAAGATGAGCACCCAGACCACACCGTTGTTATCAAGTACATGCCCGCCGTCGGAGACAACAAGCGAGCCTTGGACGAGTACTATGCCGAGATCTTCATGGGTGGCCACCAAACCATCAGCATCTTCAATGTCTGCGAGGATTCCCTGTTGGCCTCGCCCTTGATCATCGACCTTGTCCTCGTCGCTGAGATGATGACCCGCATCCAGTGGAAGACGGAAGTTGCTGCTGAATACAAGGGCTTCCACAGCGTCCTGAGCATTCTCAGCTACATGCTGAAGGTAAGAGCGCACAACTCTTGTTGAAATCTCACTGACATGACTCTCCCAGGCACCTCTCACTCCCCCTGGAACGCCCGTCGTCAACGCCTTGGCCAAACAGCGCAGCGCCCTAACCAACATCTTCCGGGCCTGTGTCGGTCTGCAACCCGAGTCCGACATGACGCTGGAGCACAAGCTGTTCTGAGGCCTCCCGGCTCAGGCAGCGCACTCTCTCCGACCCTAATGTGCAGGTAATGGCAAAGAAATTAGCAGGGCTTACGAAGCCGCTCGGCCGCTCTCGGCATACGATGCGATGGGGGGTGGCTAGACTGCTTTTTTTCCCTTTGCATTGCGAAATGGCGAAATACCAAAAGGGTCGGGCTCTCTCTGTCTTTCTCTTTTGGGGTCACCTAGACTGCACAGATTTGTTTTTTGTTCCCGAGTACACTGTTGTTGTACTTGTACTGTCGTTTCCGCTTTCCCCCCTACCCTCCTTCGACTAGACTCGACTCGACTCGGCTCGACTCGGAGGTGTCCAACTCACTTGTCGCTCCTTTAGTTGATCCAGCTACATAGTATAGCCTTTGCAACACAAGACATATTACTTCCCCCCAACTTCTTCCTCTATTCTCAATCGGCAAGGTTCAGGGCACCGGGCCTCTTGTGCGTAGCGTACCACGTAACGTAACGTAGTCGACTTGTATCCGTGAATCCCACTCCCACATACATAACATGGTGGATAGTAGGAGCGATAATATGTATATACATAAGAGGGTTCATTCGTGCATAGGTAGGGTTATAGCGTACGTATAGGGTATACGTTCTCAGGAGAAACCGCCGCGCGCAAGACCGTACAAAGTGCCCACGCCAGCCTTGACCCCATCGACGATATAGACCTCCCTGCCCCTTTCGTCGCCGAGGGCTTCGACGCAGGCCGTGCGCACCGCCGAGTCCAGACCGACCATTCCCGCGCAGCCGAGACAGATAGCCTGGACGCGCGAGACGAGGTGGCTCTTGTTGTTGTTGTTGCTGCTGCTGTCGGTCTCGCCATCGCCATCGGTATTGGCTCCGCGCAGGAGAAGCCGCTTGGTCGCGTCCATCATCTTCCTGCGGACTTCGTGGGCAGGGAGGTCGTGGAGCTCGCTCGCGTTGAGACCCGTGGTTTCGCACCCGACAAAGGGCGACGTCGTTTCCGTGGTCGGACAGCCGAGAAACTCCTCGACGGCGGTCTGCAGGGCCTCCTCCCAGATCTTTCCGGTCGAGACGATCCCAAAAGCCGGCCTCTCCCTAGCAGCAGCAGCAGTAGCAGTGGCGGCAGCGGTCCCAGAAGTCTTGCCAGGTGGAGAGTCGCGCAACAAGGCCAGACTCGCCAACACGCTCGCCTCAAAGATGCCCGTGACGTATTTCCTCGCCCCGGACCCTTCGGGCCCTTGGGTCGCCGCGGCCGCGACGGCCGCACACTCGGCCTTGAGGCGCGCGACGAGCGGGTGCTGGCTGTAGCACGCGACGAGGAAGCAGTCGTGGTGGGCCACGAGGGGGAGCAGATGCGGGAGGCAGATGTCGGCCGACTGCGCCGCGTCGGTGGGCGAGTTGATGCTCGGGATGCCCGGCGTGGGCGACGTGAAGAACGTGTATTGCGCGCCTGGAATCCCCAGGTCCTGCACGACGGGTTTCAGCGCGTCGGTCATGGGCTGGGACGTGTTGGGGTTGATGATCAGGATGCGCACAGGGGGCGGCGGTGTCGACGTTGACGATGTTGCTGCTTCGTCTATTTCCGTCATCGTGTTATGGAGTTGGTGTGTGTGTGTGTGTGTGTTTTGTTCTTTTCTTTTTATCACCCTCTTGCTGCACCCTGTCTCTGTCTGTATGTGTGTGTTGGAGTTTTATGAATCGGGAAAAAGTCGCAGGTTGGCGCAGGTGGCAGTTTCGATTCTTTTACGGACTTGTTCCAAGATTCAATGCGGGGAGAGGGGGGGCACTCCTTATCTTATCGCCCGATAAGAGATAAGGCGAGAAGGCGAGAAGGATATCTGGACCCTCGACGCCTTGACGCCTCAGCCATGAATATACATACTGAGTACTCGGTATATAGATACTCAATATGTCCTCATTTGATACTGTGCGATGGGCGTCTATCCGAATCCTATAGGCCGAGGGGCCTTCCCTTTCATTCTGGCTGAATCAATGCCAAATGTCCGTGTTCCACCATCTTTTTCATAACTTCCTCGCCGAAGCATGAATATGTTGTGAATCCTGTCAATTGAACCGTCATCGTCCGGTCGAAGCCGTCACGAAGATCACCAGCCTATGCTTTCCTCCTCGACAGATATCTCTGAGATTCTGCTGTCTCCCTTCGTCAGAAACAGTAACCTCCTGGAGACGTCCCAGCCGGGTGACACTTCATCTCAGCTCAGCCATCTCTGAGTTCATTTTCCTGACAGACAGGAGCCTAAGTTGACGAGTATCGGACGGCTTTCGAAAGTCCACCTTTCGTCAGGGTGGGGCCTGTGCCAGAACGACCGAGTACTCGTCTTTTCAAGGTGTCTACCGAAGATTTCTCTGCGCAGCATTGCTTGTATATTGATGCGTTCCGCAAGATGAGACTTGTCTCCAGTTGAGTCCAAGAGGTGACTTGGCCAGAGCCAGCGAACACTCCAACATTCTCGAAATTATTGAGAGCTGTCTGTGTATTGTTCAACACACGAATCGTCGTTCTCCACCTTCACACGAGTTTGGTCTCGGCTGCGTCGTCGAATTGGTCGGGCGCTTTATCATCGATATTGGGGGCGGCTCTTGTAGGTGTCTTGAATAGTCGCTGTCCGCCCGTGATGAGATCTCTAAGGGTGGCGTAAACGACCAGTATCCAAAGCAGGAATACGCAAACCGAGGTTATCTGTGGTTGCAACGGTCAGCCGGGTGACACGAAAAAAGCATGAGAGCATTACAGATCCAATGACGCGGAAAAACTTGGAGGGTATCTCTTTTGCGAGGGTATTGCTCGAGAGTGCAAAGGTGCCGATCGGAAAGGTGAACCTGTCCACTGTGAGTCGCCAAACTGCTTGACTGAGCCTTGTCCTCGGGACGAAACCTACCCCCACCAGCCCATATTGAACGGGAAGTGCTTGCAATGGTATATCGTTGCAACGGCAAGAAAAAGCCACAGCAAGGTGAACCCCCACAGGACCAAGGATAGAAGCACTCCCAAATTGTACGCCAGATCTCCGGCCAGAGGGTGGATGGTCTTGGTCGAAGCGAACACTTTCATCGCGACGCTTCCGAGCTTCATGATTGCAAACGCACCCATGTTCAAAGGACCCAAGGGGATGAAACAAGAAACAATGACCTCGCGCGGCGGGAGTTTGTGGATGGTCAGACGCTGCCAATAGATGACGAGGATAAATATTGCAGAAGGAACGCCTACGCCCCAAAGGACATAGCCGATGATGACGGTGGCCAAAGCTTGCTCGTCGTTGGGCAAGACATTTGCAACCAATGCCGCGGTGGCGGATGCGACCACGGTGCCGATGACGGGGAACATCTGCAGTGCGGTGAACGTCGACAGGGGAGTCTCTTCCTGTCGTTTGATCACAAGCAGGAAGGGTAAGAACAAGGCACACAGCAGTGAGATGGCTGCATCGGCCATCCATAGCCTGAGCTGGTCAGCGAAAGGCTCTGTGCAAAACTGAGAGGCATCACTCACCCCCATGAAAGGTAAATGACCCATCTGCCCCACGAAGGAGCGCACACAAACACCAGCATGTTGACGATAGTCCCGAGACTCTGTATGGTCACGTCAGCGCAATCTACCGAACGGCAGCCGGGGACACCCACCACCGGTATGCTACTCAGAAAGAATGCCTGATTGGGCCGCTCGACTATAGTGATCCAGACCTTGGGGAACAGAACGAGCTGGAGAACGGACACGAAGATGAAGAAGGCGAAGAGACCGATGTTCAGGCAGAACACAATGACCGAGAGCCAATACAACCATCTTGCGTTGTATGGGAATTGATTGAGGAGGCTCGCCACGACCTTGTGGTGTCCTGGAAATCAGCCGTTGTGTCAAAAGCAGATGAGACGAGTTCCTCGCCGGCTTCTGGATAGAAGGACAGGACCAGGAATTTGCATCAACTTGGCGAGTGGAAAGGCACTTACACCGGTGCCCATGGTCACCGTGAACCAGCTGCGTAAGCGCCGTCAACACGCAGCCTCGACATTTGGAGAGAGTTGGACGTACGACGGCGTGAAGTACTTGACATATTTCCTCCATCCCAGCTCACCCTTTTTCCTAAGCTCCAGAGCCATCTGTTTGCCATCCTGCGTCGACAAACGAGAAGCTGGTGGGAGAGAGGTAACTTCAGGGCCGTCCCCCAGAGCCGGGTTCCAACATGCGATGTCGCCATCTTCGGCGGTCCCTCCACTCAGGGTCTTTTGTAGGGAAACGGCAGCATTAGTGACAAGTCTGGTCAGCGTCCTGGGGCGAGTCGGTCGAGACGGAGCTTCAGGCATTGCCCTTTTTGTGGAGGAAAGGAGCGGACCTGGGAGTAAATGTGTGTCACGGAATGCTGCTTGTGACGTGGAGGGACAGGGGCGGCGGAGATATTTGCTAAAGATTGATATGCTTTCTCCGCGGTACGTGAGAGCTGCAACGACCTCTAAAGGACAGGCACAGATCACCTCGTTCACCCCCGAATGTCCTTTATTGTGCCACTGCTATAGCCTTGTAGACATCGTTCCGTCAATGGAATGTAGTGAGATTGCGGATGGGTAGATGGAAGTGATGGAGAGGAGAGAGTCGGAGAAGGACATATAGAAAACAGCAGCGAGGTTGAAGTTATTATTATTTTTGAATCTGGACCAAAGCGGGATCATGCGGCACGTTGTAGCGAACCGGGATTAGCGAGCTTGTGCCCAGCAAGGTTCTTCAGGTGTCCTAATATTATTGACTGGTCGAAATCTGGAAGGAGACGAATACCCGATCCAGCTTGAGGCTGGAGAGGGGGAGATGAGAAACTCAGGGTTGGATGGTGAATGGGGAAGTGTGAATGGTGGATGGTGGGAGGGAGGCTGATGCGCAGTTGGTGAAAAGTGTGGCTGCGTCTCCATGGCGCATGCAGCTTACGAAATCGATACGAGACACAGATTCTGCATTATCCCTATTCCACTCGACACCCTTGACACTCTCATCCTCAAATATGAATCGCAAGGTAGCAAGTGACTAACTAGGAGAAGCCATATTGACATTGAGAGAAAGAAAACCCTCCAAAAGTGGCGGCTCTGTCCGCCAAATTTCCCTCCAACCTGCGTCGAATTGTAAAGACGATAGATATCAGGCTGCTCCTCGCTGCACTCCTCTGCTCTGATTGATCTCCCGTGTTGATCCTCGTGTTCTCAACCGCTGATCCCTCCGCCGTCCACCAAGATGTCTTGACCGGAAAGCGCTGAAAAATGATCCAAGCCCAAACGGAAAAGTACTGACGCCTGCAAACGCTAGACCCAGCGCGGAGATCTCGTCTCTTTGCATGACCACATCGGAACGCCATCTAACGAACCGCATAGCTCTTCGGCGGTCCGCTGATATCTGGTTCAAGCACCGAGGTGTGCGGTTCTGGTTGGTTTTTTGGGGTCGGCTCCTGCCAATAGGTGTTTTGAGGTTGCTCGTGCTGTTGCAGATATCGAAATCTACAACTACGACAGAAGGGTTCAAGGGACGAACAGTCGACCTCTGCCGCGGGTCGATCCACGTTCGAACGAATTGCTGTAGCCGCGGTTCAAGTTCGACCCTCGACCCCCTCCACGGCCGTAGTTTCGATGAGTCCCCCGACCACTGCTGAACTGGGGTGGGACATGGTTGCTCGTGTTGACGAGCGGTGTACTGCCTCGCGCGAAGCTGCCGCGGTCAAAGGAATCGGGGTCGATCTCTTCCACAGGAATCTGTGGCTTGTTCTGCACCGCCTGCGCAGGGGTGCTAAAGGAGGTTCGGGGAGACCGTGTATTTCCTCCTCGGCTGCGGACGCTTCCTGCGGCAGCGCCTCGCGACGATTGTGCTCCGCGGGTCGAGCCTCGACCTCTTGGTTTAAAGACGACCTCTTCCTCGTCACTCTCAACGTCATCATAGCTGAAAAGGGTCTTCAGCTCGGAGTTGGACACTCGTTTCGCCTTGTCCTTCTTGGAATTGTCTGGCGCGGGTGATTCTTTCTCTCCCAAGCCAAGCGCACTCCTCAATTGGTGGATATTCTTAGTCGGTATACCAAAGTCCCGGGCAAGGTGCATAGTATCAGCCGAGTTGGTCAGGAAGATAAGGCCTTCATCGGCAGGGGCCTTCTTCTCGTGTACATACCAGACGACGGGGTTCAGAAGAGATTTGAGCGATGGTGGGACGGGTGTTTGATCGTGGCTAATGATGGTGGCAGACTTGACCTCAGGGCTGGTCTTAGAGCTCTGCGGTCCAGAAGAAGAGGGGGATAACGGTGGCGTAGAGCCGGGCGACATGTTTGCAGGTTCTTTGGCAAAGTTGAGTTTGTCCAAGAGGACCTGCGACAACGGGCCTGCGACCCCCGCGCTGACTTTGAAGGGGATTTCCGAGTCCTTCTCCTGTTTGTTGTCCATGATTGGGATGGGGTCCTCTCCTTCGTGCATCCCAGCAGTCTTCATGCTTTCATTCGTGTAGTGTGCCTCCACCTCAGCCCATGTAGGGTATTGGTCGTCGGGACCTTGGAGGATGACAGGGTCATGCCGTAAATCGCCGCGAGACGAAGTGCTGCGGTCGAGAAACTTGACTGCTTTGCGCGCACTGATGCCAATCTGTGAAGAATCCTTCTTCAGAACATTCAGGCGAGAAAGCGCTGAAGCCAATTAGCGGGACACGAAGAATTTGCGACACACGGGCAGCCATACTGTACAGGGGCACAACAAGAATGATGAGGCCCTGCGAAACCCAGCTCTCAATCTCCTCGAGACTTCTGGTCAAGGCCGTGTCGTCTACGAGACAACGGATGACATTGTTTTTTGACATTTTCATGGTTTGCCGCTTGTGAATCTGTATTGGATCGGGGTGACGATGTGTGGGCTATAGGGCGAAAAATTGACGATTCATCGGCGCAAACTTTGGAAGGTGCGGTAGCCAGGCGCTACAACTGTATACTTCCAGTCATCGGTCAGCGAGGTGAAATTCCACGAAGAGATTATGGCAGGGAGTTCAGGGCATGGCAGTCAAGGCGCAGGCAATACCGGGTGTGTCTGTGGTGGAGAGCAAGCAGTAAGGATAGGTGCGCATCTTCGCTAGGAATAGTTTGACGCCGTGATGCGGCCACCAGTTGGTTTCATGTGAGGATGCATCGACAGGACAGGCTTGCGAAGTGAAGAAGAGTCCAACTTCGCGTGAAGAGTAAGAAGATGAAGTAGTTGTTGTTGTGCGGTGGGTGGTAGTGGAGTGGGAATCAAGAGGATCGGAGGTTGGACTTGCGCGGGAAGCGGGACGCAGTCAAGCAACAAGCACCCGATCAAAACTGCGGGTGAGCGAATCAGCCCTGGATTCTGACCATCTCCGCTCTCCTGTCCCCCAACGGCGCAGCCTGAACTTGAATTTAGCCCCGAGCACACACCACAGGGTCCTCAGATTCTCAGTCTCTGAAAAGAGTCTACTAGGTCCTCGCTCTATGGAAGCGCCTCTAAAATACCGTCAGACAACTTACGGTGTCATTCTTGAGGACCTCAAACAGCATCCCCGGAAATCCAAACAACTCCGTGTTGCTCATCACCCCTCTAATGTCTGCTGTACTGTGGCTGTCCGCCTTTTCTCGAGTCGGGCTTTCCTCGAGGTCACCCAGCAGCTCTATTGAGCTCTCTGGACTCTCTCCCCAACCCCTGTTGAGAACCATGCCTCGCTGCATTTGTTTCTCCTCCTCCTCGTCCTTGTAAGTGTCATGCCACACCTCTTTCAACGCTTGAGATATCTCGGAGAATGTCATTTCTGATGTTAAGATCGGACCTCGGCCTTCTCCACGAGTCCGTATTACCCACCGACTTCTTCGATGACGATTGAAGGCGAACGAACCCGGTATATTGCCGTGTAAGAAGATCTTGGTGGCGACCAGTTGCGCGCTGGAAGAGGCAGGACTCTCACTGGGTGCTGAATCGGGAAAAGGTATTGATCTTGTGGCTGGGGATGATATCAGGATGTCAAATCCATGTTTAAAGTAGTTGTAGAAACACTCATCACCCGACGAACCCACCCTATCTTCCTCCAAGTCGGGTTCGAAATCGGATTCTTCGGTATAGCTTTGAACTGAAGACTGGTCGGTGTCCAATGCCTGAGGGTCGAGTCCTGGGGACATGCTAGACCGCCGCCGGTTCGCAGGGTTGCCGGCGGCATGGATGGAGATTCGCCTGTCATTTTTACGATATATGGCATCGGGCGGCCCCAGCTCTGCCACGAGATCTTGTGGCGTTGTTTCACTCAATGCGATCACCATAGGGGGAGAGCCCCTCCGGAGTAATTCCAGTCTGCCACCCCCGAACACTCTTACCTCTTCGATCTCGTCTGGGACCGTCTCAACGGACTTGCCAACCAGCGTTGGCGAACGAGGATATGTTGGAGGCCTCGTGTACAAGTTTGATCTTGCTTCTGTCCACGAGGACCCTGAGAAGACGGCCATAGACTTTGCCGGTCCAGTTGCATTGGACGACAAAATCGACACAAAATCAACTTTTTCAGACCAGGATTTGTGTTTCACGGGAAATGTGAATGCCAGTCCTGGATAGGAGAGTACATAAGTACCATCCGAAACGCCGGAATCCGGAGCAATATATTCGCCGGCGTATGTTGGTCCAAAGAGACGATTGTAGACATGTCGAAACGTTGGCCCGGTGGAAGAGCCTTCGTCTTGGCCGATCTCGTCCGAACCCTTGATTCGACGGACCAGATCGGTATTCTTATAAACAAAGGAGCTCAGCGAGAAGTCCAAAACTTCGATTAGCCGTAGACGCTGGTCTGGGCCATCGAACCGAAGCCTCAGCCCGTTATAAGGAAGGCTAAGAACAACCGGTTGCGTGATTGGCTCTGTAGCGGAATAGGACAGATCGAGCTTTGGATAGAGTTGCGGTGACGCTTTCAGCCTTGTAATTATACTGTAGATAGAAGATCCAAGAGCTGATACGATTAGCATCAACAACTCCAAGGAGGGATATACACGTACTTATCCAACTGATGCCCCTTTCTGGCTGGATCTGAAAAGCAGCCTTGGAGGCGGTTTCCGTCATGACGAAGGCAGCATGCCGGGACAGAAGAGGAAACGACGGTAAGTTGCCCGCTGAGGGAAGGTCTTTGTGATATTTAACCTGATGACCACATCAAACAAGAATAGAAGACAAGTCACAAGGGAGTCAGAACAAGTGCCACACGAGGTTAGTCGGGCCGGCGCATGGACCAATCAGAAGCTAGTACCACAAGGGCCTTATCACGTGCTAGCCTTGCCACTTTAGCGCCTTGGCATTGTTTACATTCCGTCCTGTTTCGTTTTGCTGGCCGAGGGAAGCATCGCTCCGCCAAACTCGTATCCTTGTTCTCTAACCCCGGTACCTTGTTATATGGCGAAGTAGACCCAGATGCAGCTCCCGCACCCTCAATAACACTCCATCTACTATCACCCGCCACTACTGCGCCAACATGTCAGGATCACACCGTCCTGGATATTCCTCCAGCAGAACCTCAATGCGCCCTCCACCGAGACCGCATGGCGCCCACTATCCCTCGATAACCGGCCGAGCGCCATCCCCAGCAGAGTCACTGTCCTCAAGCGGTGCTTCTAACGCAGGCACTAAAAGAAAAGAGAGGGATTTTGATCAGGACCATGGCGAGGAGACAAACATCCATGTCGTGGTGCGATGTCGGGGTCGAAGCGCGAGAGAAGTTCGAGAAAATAGTGGGGTGGTGGTATCAACAAGCGGAGTAAGAGGAAAGACTGTTGAATTGTCAATGGGACCCAATGCAATCAGCAACAAGACCTACTACTTCGACAAGGTGTTCTCTCCTGCGGCAGACCAGACAATCATTTTCGACGACGTCGTAGCGCCCATATTGAACGAAATGCTGACGGGATTCAATTGCACAATATTTGCCTATGGGCAAACTGGAACGGGTAAGACATACACCATGTCGGGCGACATGACAGATACGCTTGGACTGTTGTCTGATGCGGCCGGCATTATTCCCCGAGTACTGTACTCATTGTTTCAGAAATTGGAAGCGGATGAGGTCGAGTGTTCAGTTAAATGCTCCTTCATCGAGCTCTACAACGAGGAATTGAGAGATTTGCTATCGTCGGACGATTCTGTCAAGCTAAAAATCTTCGACGACACAAGCAAGAAGAGCCACTCCGCTACAGTGGTCCAAGGCATGGAAGAATCGCATATCCAAAATGCCGCAGCTGGCATCAAGCTGCTGCGGGAGGGCAGCCACAGGCGTCAAGTCGCAGCCACCAAATGCAACGACCTCAGCTCTCGTAGCCACACAGTCTTCACCATTACCACATATATGAAGAAACCCAATAACACAGGCGAAGACTATATCTGCTCCGGGAAACTTAACCTTGTTGATTTAGCTGGGAGTGAAAACATCCAAAGAAGTGGCGCAGAGAACAAAAGAGCCGCTGAAGCCGGACTCATCAACAAGAGCTTATTGACACTTGGAAGAGTGATCAATGCCCTAGTGGACAAAAGCTCGCATATCCCTTACCGAGAATCGAAGTTGACAAGACTGCTGCAAGACTCGCTAGGTGGAAGAACAAAGACATGTATCATAGCCACAGTTTCGCCAGCAAAGAGCAATCTCGAGGAGACGATTTCGACCCTGGATTATGCGTTCCGTGCGAAGAATATTCGAAACAAACCGCAGGTCAATTCGATGATATCCAAGAAAACTTTGCTGAAAGAGTTCACCACCGAGATTGAAAAACTCAAGAGCGAATTGATTGCTACAAGACAGCGTAACGGCGTCTATCTCACCAATGAGCAGTACGAGGAGATCACGGTCGAGAGTGAATCCAGGAGGATACTGAGCGAGGAACAAAAGGCTCGGATCGAAACGATGGAAGTCAGTTTGCGCAACAAAGTTCAAGAGCTCTTCAGCCTGACCAACAACTTCACAATGCTGAAACGAGACAATGAAGGGACTCGGGTGACCCTGGAGAGCACAAAAGATGTGCTTGAAAAGACCGAAGCTGTTCTTACAGACACAGCAAGGCTGCTCGAGGAGGAAACTGCTCTTCGCGAAGCACATGAATTGACGGAGGAGAAACTGCTCGGAATTGGGACAGAGCTGGTCTCGACTGTTGGTAACTCTCTGAAGGATATCGATGGTCTGCAAGCCAAACTCAGACGGCGTTCTCTCCTTCACTCTCAGAACCGCGAGGCGTGGAACTCTTCTCTAACTCGGGTCATTGACGTCTGTGGCCTGGTTGACGAACGCATCGGAAGCTTTCAAGCGGCACATGCAGAAGCCGCCGCCGCAAGCTCTCGTCGCATCGAGTCGTTTATTGCGGCCGAGATGGCGCACATGGAGACTTCTGCACAACTATCTAGGGAGAAGTCGTCCCAGCTGGCCGAAGACTGCGCTGGTGTCGAAAACCAGTCGTCGCAGGCCAGAGATTCGATGAATAACGTTCTCGAGGAGATCAAAGATCTACGTGAGAATGTCAAGGACAACCTAAGCGAGGGTCTTCAAGGTCTTTCGCAGGCAGCTGCGAAGATATCCGCAGAAGTGATTTCGGAGCTTGAGCAATTCCATACTCAATTGCATTCGTCTTACAGCGGGCTGGGGAAAGACTTTAAAGCGATGTTCGATGACCTTACCAGGCAACTGGCAGGCCAGCGAGAGGAAATCGAAGCCTTGTCATCGGCGCTCCAATCGGCCAGTCGCACAAGCATTGAGGCATCGCTGTCGGCCTCGACCCAGCTCGAAGCCATCAGGGACGAAGAGAGAAGGGCTGCTGCGGAGGAGAAAGAGAAGCTCAAGGAGCAGATCATGAAACTGGTTGATTCGTCACATCAACAGCAAGAACAGAGACTGTCCAGCAGACTGAATAATGTCCAGTCACACCTCGTTGAGGCGACAGAACAGTTCGAAAGTGCCGACAAGTCGTATCGCGAGGGAATAGACAAGTGGACAGCTCAAGGCGACGAACTCATGGCACAGGTCGTTACGTCAAAGGACGAACTGAAGACTAAGATTAAGGGCGATTGGACGGTATGTACAGCACATTTTGGTCATGGGTATAGACTAACATCTCGCAGGCAGTCAGTACGCGGAACCTGGCCATCCAGAAATCCACCAAGGCCGTCCACGAGGAAACGGTCAAGATTGTCGATGCCCAACTTACGCAGATGTCGACTCAAATGGGGGCTCTAGATGAATTTGTGACGCGCGCTCGACTACAGAACGACAGTCATCATACCGAACGCTTGCAGTGCTTAAAAAAGGCTATATCGCGTGCTCAGGATGGTCTCAGCAGTCTTGAGAAGGAGTCGGAGCAGCGGCGTGAGATATTTGGAAACTTTACAGAGGAACAGGAGACAAATCGAGGAGAGCTCGAAAAACTCGTCGGATCATTGGAGTCAGAGACAAGGCATCCTCTCCAGAGCATAAAGGCAGAACTCTCAGAAGCAACTTTGATCGAGTACATTCCAACTGGAGAGACGCCGCAAAAGAGGGAGTGGAATTACCCGACATACCTGCCACGAACCGAAAATCACGAAGCTATCATTGCCAGGCTGAGGGGCTTGCCTGACCCTACTCTGATTGTCAAGACGCCTACATCAACAAAGACGCCTGGCCATTCGCCCAGGAAGCAAGCATCACCGCGCAAGGGGCCAGCATCGCCCTCGAAGCTGCCGAGTCCGAGCAAAACCAAGATCTTTACGGATATTCAGAATCCTACAATCCAGGCATCTTGTACTACATCGCTATCTCAAACACAAGGCGCCGCCAGCGGGGTTCCTCCCATTGAGCCGAAATGTGGGTTGAAGGAAGTCGACATCAACGTGATTAACAGTAATCGAGCGACAGCGTCATCGTCGACATCTATGACATTGTCCAACATTGACGAAAAGCCAGTGCTGCTCGACTTTAGCAAGAGCATTGGCAGCGGAAGTCAACAGCCACCACTCAAGAGGCATGCGACGACCAACGCCGTTGTCGAGAGCAGACTGCCTACTGCGAAGCCGGGCAGAGTGACAAGGAGTACAATGGCTGGGTTAATAGGGATAGGCATGGGTGGCGTGGAGAATTTGAGTCAGAGTATCGGACCAATGGGTGGAGGTAGGAGGCTGAGAAGCAGTCCCTCCGGCTAGACACCCATGGTTGTGGCAATCTGTGTTGTCTTCTGGTCAATACGACGGATGGGAAGTTTTTGCACTGTGGCGGTGGTTACTTGGGGAGTTTTGGAGACATGTTTGGTGGATCCCGATGAATCGAATCACATTGCGTTCAAGTCGAGTACTGTTAGAGATACCCCCGTCAGTTGGCCGTGGTTTTGTCGCTGTTTTTGGGTCGGTTGATATCAGGAATAGATAGATGAGGATACGTGGAATGGGTCTCGTCGGGACCGGGAGGTCTGGATGAGCGAGAAGGACATGGATATCGGATCCAGTACCAGGAACACATTGCTGAGTCAACTACAAGCCACGTCGTACGTACCTCGAACTTGTTGTATCTGATCCCAAAGTCCAATAGACCGACACCAAGCCACGCTTTCCACGTCACAACCATCGGGTCTGTATGCAGTGGCCGAGATTGGGCAGGCCCAGCAGAGGCTTATTGTCGAGTCGGTAGAGGTACAAGGTAGACCCTCACCTGTCAGATCCCTGTGTTGGTGTGCCGGTACTGGTATTTCGTCCAGGGTGGAATGCAGGAAGAACCCTCCCTTGTTTTCGAAGAGAGTCTCTGTCCGTCGACTTGGCTGTGTCCAATTCCCGAGATTTATTGAGGAAACCGTCTCGCGGACAGGAGGGGAGGAGGCACCTGCGTTCAGATACCTCGCACCTCCCTCCCCCTCTCTCTCTTCCTCATTAACTAGAGATAGCCTAACATGATATAGACGCTACCAAGACAACCAAGTCAATACCATTCCACAGGCTATTGTGGCCTCGCTTCCTCCTTCTTTTCGGTCTTCCAGTTTGGCTTTTTGTGCGCCTCCAAAAGTATTTTGTCGCGCTTGGTCCGATCGAGTAGATAGTGCACAGTCTGGGGAAATGCCTTGCGATTGCGATGTCCCTTGCGTCTTCCTTCCAAAAACTTGTTGCCCAGAATGGTGTTCATGTCGCGAACGACCGTGGCCATCGACACAGCATCCTCCTTATCAAGAAGATTATGTTTCAGGGACTCGAGCAGAGCCTGGGTCATCCAATTTGCAGTTCCAACGTCCCAGCCGCAGGCCCCAATCAGCTCCTTGCGGTAAGGATTGAATCCCTCCTTGCTTTCCTGGCTTTTCGCCGTACGGTCGCCCTTCTCGACACCTTGCCACGCCTCACCCAGGGCGGCAAGTCCCGCATTGCAGCAATCAAGAATGACCAGCGTGTCGTACTTTGCATCCAAAATCTTTCTCCTGAGGGTTGGTCTTTTCTGGTCGTCTGGCTTTTTCTGGTCGTCTGGCTTTTTCTGGTCGTCTGGCTTTTTCTGGTCGTCTGGCTTTTTCTGGTCGTCTGGCTTTTTCTGGTCGTTATAATGCCACCTCACCTTGGCAACGCGCTGATATCTTTGCCTGGAAGTTTATCAGTCACTCGGAAAGAGATTGTTTCCAATTCACCCACCATTCGTTGGTTATCTCTTTCCTGGTTCCATCATCGCCGATGGTGTCGCTCTCGGCGTGGGCAAGGTGCTCCAGGATCAAACCCATCGTGCGTCCCAGGTCGTATGTATCGTCCGGAATGTTATGGCTTCGGAGATTAGTTAGAATCGAGTATTGATAGGGCATACTCTGGGCTCTGACCTGACGAGTTCCAGTCCATCGTCAGACACTCCGCCATGTCCGTGATAGTAAATGATGAGAAGTGTATCTTCCTCCTTCTCTGCCTTCTTCTCTGCCTTCTTCGCTGGCCTCTTCAAGAACTCGTCCACTTTCTCATATAAGGCATTCTCAGAGTCTTTCATAGGGATATCAAACGCCTCAACGTCCTCGACGTCATAGCCCAACGTCTTAAACGCTTTCTTGAGACCCTTGGTTTCATTGTTCAGACATTTCCCCAGGTCGTGGTATTTGAAAGTGAGCAGCAAGGCCTTGACATGAGCATATTTGTTGTCTCTAGGTCCCTCTTTCTCGCTCCCCTGCTGAGTACGTGAGTTATTTTTGTTCGACATCCTGTCCGCGTCCTCACATTTCCCAGATTGCTCTGTGGAGAGGGGGTTTTGCGAACTCTGACCGGTCACGTTTCTACACTTGTCAACCTTGCCGACGTATTTTGATTGCAAAACGCGAGGAAAGAACTCGAGCGATGACGTGTGAGGTATACGTACGCTGAGGTATATATGTAGATTTGGAACTGAGCCGTGTAATCGTTGAAGGGTTTTGTCAGAGGAAGGAGTTCAGCGGACCGAGCACAGCGGGTCAAGAATATATAGACGATATATTCCGAGGCTCCGCGCGCAGAGCCTCAATATTCCAGCAGTTTAAGATCATTGGGCAGCAAGATCAAATGTCATTGGGGAGGGGTGGAGAAATGCATGTCGTGAGTCAGCGAAGCGAAGCTGCAGTTACAGCAATCACATTTGTGCGATAAGAGGCGTCGACCAGGGGCATCACGAGCGAGCGCATGAGCGTACGTGCGACAAGCGAGGTGTGGTTCGTGACTGGGATCGGTGCAGCGGGGTAGGGCAGCTTCGTTGACACCTTCTTCAATGAGAGTGCAGAGAAAGGTGGTCCCGGGGGGGTGGAAGGGGTTGACAAACCTGCTTTTTGTAAATGAGGCTCCTCAGCGAGGAAGGTTGCAACCCCAGAAAAACAAGGCGGAAGTCATGTTGTCTTCTCCCCACCTTGGAGGAAGGAGCACATGGTAGGTTAACACTGTTGAGCCTCACGCTACTGAGATACAACGTACCCTGGACGAACAAAAGCCGCACCACCAGCACCAATGCCGGGCTCTCATTCCGGACCGGAGAACCGTCTGCATATTGTCCTTCAGAGTATCGACACATGTTGCTTCGCAAGGGTGCGAGGTGAATGGACATTCTTACTGGAGAGTGCCCAAGGACAGCAACAGGTTTTGACGGAACAGAGGAAGGAAGGTCTTGAATAATCAATCCATCGACTTGCCAATAACAGCGGTTTTAGTAGCCGCTTGCACCAAAACCCCGGACCGTGGCACGCCGCTCCTCCCCCACCACGAGACCGGCCCTGCGATAGACCGTATCCAACTGATCACCTCGTACGGAACGCACCAGATAGAGCTGTCCACATTGGACCGAGACAATGGCACGACACCAGCACGCACTGTAGCTTTTAGCCACTGGGTGCTCGCAGTCACAACAAGGGGGATTCATGCACAAGCGTGAGGGCCCTTGAGGAGGATGTGCCAGGTTTCTGACGCCTCGTCCGAGACAAGACAGATGTCTGGCCGCAAGGCAGGTATGTACTAGACGACCGGTGTTTGCTCGGGGAGTGCTTCCTACGCTCCCTCGTGCTGGGGTGCTCCTCGTACTCGGCCAGACCTCCTCGACGCGGCTTCTTCACGCGGCACCAAATGAAGAGCGGCCGTGCTGCCTTTCCTGAACGAAAATGGCAAGGGGGAAAGTACAGTTCAGGGCATAATATTATATTCATACCTCGCACCCCTCGTAGAGACGTGAGTATAACTACATATTAGGTACGAACGAACGAACGTCAAGATCGCGCAGCGAATGATGAGTATACATGTGGGGGCGCTAGTGATATACTTCCCGTGTGTGAAATTGCCTATTTGGGTATGAACCGTCAGCCCGACCCGCACAATCTATATGTATAATTGAGGAAATCCCTCCCCCCTTTCAGAAGTATGCCGAGGACTCATGAACCTGTTGAGGATCAAGACTCGTACATACGTATGTACGTACATACGTACGTAAGTAAGAATGAGCCAGTCGAGAAAAAAACGAGCATCAAAGACCAAGGACCAAGGGACTGAAGTATTTATTGAAGAGTCGAGAGTCACGAGAAAGTCTCGAGGGAAGTATCGGCACGGACACCACGGAGTCAAAGTAACAACAAGTACAACATGGTGCAAGTGTACAGAGTGGTACAAACGTCAAGAGCTCACCAAGTGCGAAATGAAGCCACGAAACTCCATGGTCCAGTGGCCGGGGGGGGGGGGGGGGGGAATGATGGAGGAGCATTTTTCGACGACTAGCAGACCAACAGCCAGACCGAGCGACCGACCGACAAATAGGACTAGAGGTCTAAAGAGAAAAGGGAGAGAAGGGAGGAGAGATTGTTTCGGTTGGAGACTGGCAGTCATGCCAGAAGTCTACGAGTGTACGAGTCCTCAGACTTGGTACGATATACCTCGTAGTCTGGAGAATCACGGGGTTTTCTTTCTCCAAGGGAAAAAAAAAAGGATCATCTCCTCACAGTGTGTATGTGAAGGCCGCTGACTTTCTCCTGGGAATCATTGTAACCAAACCAAATACGTCGCCGTCGCCGTCGCTATCGATGTCTCCGGCTCCGTTGCCACATCTCATTCCTCTCCGCCGGCCAAGGCAGCACCCACAGGTCCAGCGATGCCGCCCGCCTCGATTACCATCCTGATATCGTCGAGACGTCGCTGGAACCGCTCAATCATCTCCTCCATGCTTTCTCTTTCCCTCTCCCTCTCGGCGTCTCTGTCTCTATCCCCAGTAGCCTTGTCTTTTTCCTTACCTCCCCCCAGATCGCCCGGTGTGTTTCCCCTCCCTTCAATCCTCAGCATCAGCCCTTCCCCATCTTCACTGGGCCCGTCCCCGATGGTCGGGGCGGCCGAGATGCTAGTCCGCAAAACCTGCCATTCCGCGCTGAGACTGTGTGCGGACGTCACCTCGTAGGTGAAGAAAGGACCAACACCGACACCGCCACCCGAAGAACCAGTACCTGCCGGGGTGGCGTCGTCTTGGTTCTGGGCGCGGAGCTGCGGGTGCACGTCGAGGATTATATAGTGTTCACGCACGTCAGCCGCGGGCGGGGGCAGGCGAGGCACGTTGATGCTGTCATCCTGACGATGAAGGCTGTGGTCTCCGGGAGGCCCGTGGAGCGTGTGCGTCTGGTGAGCGTGCAAAGGTGGCCGTGTCTGTCGTCCCGATGTAGCAGCGCCTGATTCCCCCCGCTGCGTGGGATCCAAGATCTCCAGGCTCCTCAGCGCGGCTTCGGTGATGATGTCCGCGTCGTCGTCTGCAAAGATGTAGTGCACCGTGGGGTGGTAGTGTTCGTTGGTGACGCTGTCCTCGATCAGGGTGAAGAAGGGTTGGAAGGACGGGATCGGCAACTCCCCCGGGTGGGCGGACGCGGACGCCAGGCCATGGCTGTAGTAGTGTTCCGACTCGGCCACGGCGTGCTCAGAGTACTCGGGGTTGTGGAGGGTCAGGCTCGGTCGGTGTCTGAGTTTGGCCGGTTGATGAGACGCGACGATCGGGTCGTCTTCAAAAGGCGGCGAGGGTAGGAGGCTGCGAGTACTTGGAATTGTTGTCGTGGTAGTAGAGGGAGGCTGCTGGTGCGGTTGAGATGGAGGAGGAGGAAGAGAACTACTACCGCCGCCGCCACTTGGAGTCCGCCGTGATGTGGATTTCGACGGCGAAGATGAGTGTGCGGGAACTTGAGCTTGACGGGCCTGCTGGGACATGTCACAAGAAAAATGCCAGAAAGATCAAGCAAGTGGCAGAGGCGGCTACATCGTGACAGATGGTGCCGCGGCGTGGATGGGTGGGATGGATGGGCGAAGCGCAGGCGGGTAAGGAAAGATGCTTTTTGCTGGGCAGGCAGGGCAGGCAAACGACGCGAGGCGGTTTGTTCGATCCATGCAAAGGCAAACAATTAATGTGGAGACTTGTGTGGGGTGAAGGAGGAGCATGCGACAAAGGCAAGGCTACGAGGCTGTGGGCTCTCCAGTTCATCTACTGAGTAACCAAGTACAAGTATATACCTCGTATAACAAAAATACTCCGTACAATCTGTGGTAAGAGACTCGCTCTCTGTACACACTTCAGTAGCTCATCTCGTGCGCCCGAATGTTATCTAGCCGTACAGCGACGAGTCTCACGGGCTTCATTTTTCAAATGTCAATCGTTCTGATTCCAATTTCAATTGTCTCTGACCCACAGCCTCCTGGGAGCAAGCCCTTGACAAGGCTGACCGATATTGACACACAAAATGTGATAAATAATGCAATGATCGCGCCATGGCAGCTTTGAAAACAAACTAGTCCTTTCCAACCAAAACCTGACGATCCCCCCAACTTGATTCGGACGTCAACCATCGGCTACTCTGAATCTAGCAACAAAATTCTCAAGGCCACCCAGTGCACTCGTCGATCCATGCGGTTGTTGAACAAGGGATGAATGGGATATCTGCCCTCTTGGCTTTTTCCGATCTCTTCTCCATTGCCGGCTCCGGAGCAGACTCGACACTGCGCTTCTTGACAATGGGAGCAGCAGCAGCGGCGGCGGCGGCATCGTCTTCAGATCTCTTGACAACGGGTTCAGGAGCAGGCCATCCAGTGCAGTCGTCAAGCCACTCGGTGGTAGAGCAGAAGATCCTGGGAGCTCGCTTTTCCACGTCCTTGGTGTCTCTCTTCTTCAGGTCTTCCTTGACAGCATTTGGCACGGGAGCCCCACCGTCAGGGTTGGTCAGGGCACCGCCAAAGCCCATGAGGGTGTTCCAGGTCTCGGCGGTGGATCGATCTCGAGTCCCCAAAGCTCGAATCTTGGCCTGAGAATCGCGGCAGAGAACCTTTGCGGCTTCATTCGCGCCACAGACGGTGGCGAGTTGGTCGCAGATTCGGTTGGTAATGATGTCTGGCAGCCCCGTTAGTTCTGACATGAAACTCAAGCCGGCGGCGGAACTTACTTGGGTTGGTTGCTTCTTGTTGACCACGAGCACACAGCGGGTCGCTGGGCAAGAAAGTAAAGTCCACCAACGATCGCCCACCGAGTCCGCCCTCATATTTCATAGTCGGCAGGCAAAGGCCAAAGTCGGCATCCTCCTTCATGATAGATTCTTTGCCATAAGACATGACGGCAGCCGAGGCTGAACCGACAGCCACCAGGAGGGTCACGGCGGTAGATTTGACAAGCATTTTGATCTCCCGAGATGATGCTGGAAACAGAGTAAAAGAGTGTGGAATCAGTTGTGGTTTGAGAAAGGAAGGACTGTTAGAAAAGAGCCGACCAGCGGTAATGAGCGAGAAAATGGAAACAGAACGACGACGACGACGAAAAGAACGGTTGGAATGATGAAAAGGAAATCGACTTGGCAAAGGCAGGTCTTGGAAGTTTCTTATAACCAATTGACCAGGACGCGCGGATGGCAGAGCTGCCGACGGCACGTTTCGAACATGAGGCGGAGTGTGTCGTGGGTTGCGTTTCACGTGCGGCCAGGGGGTTTCGCCCAACCACTTTTGGACGAGGCCTCAAACAACCCTATCTCTGAACTGAAATCATGCTTGCTTTGGAGGGAAGGACCGTGGTCAAAGGCGGTCAGAGCTCAATTAGTGTCGGGGAATAATAAGACTCTCTGTTGCTCTGAGTGTGTAAATTAAGGTTGTCCTGTACCTCTGGGTAACCTGCTGCCCATTCTACACCGAGAAAAGAACACAGGTGCACGGGAATTCGACAAATCATACACGGCGCATACATGACCAAGGGATATATCGTCAATCCCACACCTAAATCTCTCTTTCTTCATGCGATATTTTAGTTGTAGCAGGGTATATCGCAAGTGGTTGGAGGGTTCAGATGCGGACGGGTGTGGAGGAACCCTCAATTTGACCAGGACCATGTGGGCATGCCGGAGACGGACACCGGAGACAATTTCGAGCGTAGAGTGACGCAGCAGAGTGAGACTGGAATATCCAATTCCCAGAGTATCCTTGATGGTAATTGCCCTCAAATTGAGGCGATCAAGCATCTGAAGCACAATGGTGAAGCGGACAGTGTCGCAAGAGAGAAAAAAGGGGGCGCAGGCAGAAAGGGCTTAGTGTTTATGTCTCACGTGCGTTACTAGGCCAACCAACGTCATTGCTCTGTCAGTCACGTGCCAGCCTTGCACCTTACACGTGGCTGGCCATATGTTCTTCTACTGAACCTCATCATCAACAGACGAGGCTGAGCCGCCCATGTAGAAAGCGAGTGATGCACCAACACATTGGATACGGACAGTGCCATGTATTCCCATTGTTTTGATTGCTTTGTTTCCAATCGCGCGTCTAGTTCACCATCTGTACACTTTGGCCTTCAATGCTTGTGTACGTGAACGCCGACATGTGCCTTGATCCAGTCCTTTCGTTGTCCCAACATCTCCAAAAGCTAGCCAGTTGCTGCTCGTGGAAGCCGGTATTCAAGCCCTCAGACAGTATTGTCATGTCCCGCATGTTTCGCCCCGCCTCAACAAACAGAAAGTGCAGGGCTTGGGGTAAGTCCGACTTCATACAGCCATGCTTCACCGCATCCGGGGCAATAGTCAGTCAAGGACTCGATTCACTTGACTTCATGCTCGTGGACTTCGTTTTGCTCCTTCTTCCCTTGTCCCTCACGGATCGACTCCGGGGCCACTGCAGCGTATGGATCCTCATCTGCCTCGCCATCCTTCGCATGATCTCCCACATCTTCAGCAGATCCATCGTCAACGGCGTCCACCCGGTCAAGTTCCATGCCAGTCTTGGGCTTGTCCATGATCTCTGTCTCCGCTTCCGATTCACTGAACTCAACACTGTCCGCTGGAACCGTATCCTCACTCCCATTGCCCTGGGCCGCGTCGACGCGACCGTCGCGAAACATCCCACCGAAAGGAGACCTCCTCCTTGCCACTTTGGGGCTCGGTTCTTGCACCTCGATTACGACGGGTCCAGTCTCCGTTTCCGCGTATTTGTCAATGAACGCCTCCTTCAGGACTTCGTAGAGGAAACTATACTGTAATTCGTTCATGACCATCATCATACGCTGTTCGCGGAGCGTATTCACAGTTTCCCATATGAGATCGTCTTCGTCTTTTGGATCGGGTGTGCTGGCTTTAACAGGCCCACTCCGGCCCCACGTCCCTGCGCCGTTAGAATTCGTCGTCGGTGTATGCGTACCTGTCTGCGGAGGGGAAGACTCGACCAGTCGGCCTGCTTCGAGCTCTTGTAGAAGGAAGTCGAGTGCTATCCAAGTGCCTGTTCGGCCAACTCCGGCAGAACAATGCACAATTCGTGGAGAGTCACCCGCAACTGCCCTCGACACTTTAGTCAGTTCCACCAGAGCTCTCCGGTCTTCGGCTTCGGGTTTGCCAAAATCTGGCCAGCCGTGGAACAGGTAATGATAAATTGTTTTGGTGTTGCCGTCGATCGTCAATCGAAGTTTGCGGACTTCGCAGCCAATCCTGGCATCGTAGTCCAAGGACAGGAGGGTGACAGAACCACATGAACCTTGCTCCTGGGCCGTATCACCCTGTCCGTTATCTCGAGCAGCACTTCGCGGCTCACTACGAGTGTCTTCGACATCTGTTCCAACACTATCAGTCTCAGCGCTTCTCGTACAGGAGTCCAGAAAAGGATCACCATCATCCGCGGCCTCTGTGTCTCCATCATCATCCCCCCCATCCTCGTGAGCAGGTAGGATTATCGTGGGGTTATCCATGTTATGAGGGAAATACTGGGCGCATTTCTCCTTGTTTCCTTCATAGAGCTGTGTGAGCATGATAATGACGCCCACATCGCCAGGAGTCTCTTGCATGACCATGTGCCAGAAGTGTGAATACTGTCCCTCCTTTGGACCTTGTGTAGCGATGTAGTTGCTTTCGACTGGGGTTGTCGAGGAAACTGAGGGTTGCCCAGTCGATGCTGGAGTGGAAGTACCACTGCGAGACTTTTTGGCGAGGCGACTCCTGAGGGTGATGGGGGACGCGTTGACGTAGTCTGATCCTCCAATCGGTTTTTTCAATTTGACCCTCGACGATTCCCAGGGTTGGACATTACCGTAGCGATTGCGACTGAGGACAGCCCACGAGCGGTCGACCCGGAATGGAGACGTGTGGGGGTTCTGCGAAGCATGCTGGAGGCGGTATCTCTGCTGCCACTCCAAATCCTGGAACGCCAACGAGATCTCTATTGCACCGCCAATTAGATACTCGACAGAGTCTCTGTGAGAGTGTCAACGTCCACTGGTACTTACTGGCACGGGGTTTGTTTAGGTAGGCAGGTATCTTGACATTGACTTGCTTTGCTGAGTCATCAGGTTTGCCAACCGCACCGTTAGATTGTCCCTGACCACGAGAAGTCGGTCGAGATACGGTCATTGCCGTTTCTTGGGATCGTTGCCTCTTGATAGACCCCTGTGGCGGAGTGCTTAGAGACAAGGATTGCGGCATGATGTCGGTGATCTCGGCAATGGTTGCTGCATCGGAGGAGTGAGCTGAGCCGGCCCGACTCACGGAGGTGGAGGGGACCGGAAGTGAAGAGGAGGTGGTAGGCCGGATGGTAAGGGTTGGGATAGGTTTGTTCTTCCTCCCAGAGGAGTGGATATGAAGTCTCTGCAAAATTGACGGGCGTTTGGGAGGGGTTTGGTTGGAAGATTCTCCAGAGGAAGGATCCTGAGGAGCGGCACCGGCTTTGTCGGCGAACAGCCTTGAGACGGTCGTCGTGATCGTGTG